AGATTAAAAGATGGTTTGCCTAATAGATTCAGCACACTTGACGTATGACAAAGTTAGTTATTTTTTATTATAACAGATTCTGACAAAAGTAGGTAGAAATTCAGTAAACAACTTCTTGAAGTGACAACCTCTTTTTAGATTAAAGCTCTAGTTTATAGTTTATACTGTTTTCTTTTAAATATCTTCCTATAATAAAATACAGTTATTATTAAACTCCTCAATTATTTGAAATCATTGATACATTGTTTATTATTTCGGTAATTGAAGAAAACATTCAATAAAGGACTTAAGTGCCTCAGAGGAAGGAAGAGCAACTGATCTTTGTACTTTAAAAACAGGAGCTATCATTTGGATAGAAAACCAGGAGTGTTCAGCTTATTCTAAGGGCCTGATATGTGGTCCTCTGTAGATAGAATATAATTTACCTTTGCTCATTTGTTTTCATTATCTCGCATGTAAAATATCCCAAACACATTGATCTTGTACATTGTTTCAGTTTTATCTGCTTTCGCTTTGGCAAGTAACGAGATGAAAGTGGGTATTGGGGTGGGGGTGACACTAGCATATTTCACTCTTCACACCTTGGCCTTTTATCCCCTTCATTCCTCGGCATCCAGTAATAATACCCCCCCCCCTCAGCCGCTCCTCACATCCCTCCATCCAGCGAGCTCAATGACAACCAAAGGTCACATTGTCCATCCTTTTATTTACAAAAACCCTGCTGCCTCCATCTGTGTCCATGAAGGATCTGATGAGGCTTTGATGGTGCATCAACAGACAGGCTGGGGGGGGTGACTATGCAGTGTGGGTGTTTGAATACGGGCACTTAAACAGAGGACAGTCCAGCTGCATGCTGCACATAATGGAAGCTGACAGAACAGACATTTGAAGGGGTGACCATTCTATAGTTTGGCTGCAGTTTGAAGTCAGTCTGTTGGATCTTAGTCTTTGTGGTGAATGGGGGGAAGGCTCTAAATCATATGTTTATGTTTTAGGACACATTTTTGGACTGCATGAAATTTGTCTTGCTGATCAAAAAGGTGTTTTTTGTTCAGGATCAGTTGGCGCATAATCAGCTGGCTGATTATCTTTGCAAGCAGGTACTGTATGATATTCTTATTCACACCATCAATAATAATATTCTTGCTCCTGCTGTAGGAATCTCATAAAGGTCCATGTCTGATTGTGTCTTCATCAAACCCTAACTTTCATGATCTCCCTCTGTTGTGATAACAGACCCCAGCTGGCTGCCATATTACTCAGCGTTTGAAGCTGAGCCGCTTTGGTTTAATCAGCTGGACCAGTGGAAACATTAACTTTCTAAAATATGCTCCTTATCATATCTTAAATAACAGTACAAAGACAGTAAAGAGGGAGGATTCTGAGGTGTATTTTTTTGGTATACTTCACCTAGAACTTGGCAAATCCTGTCATCATTTTATCCAAATGAGGCAATAAGCTTTCAGGGGCACTTTGTGGCTCAGTGATATGCCTCTGCTTCATAAAATTGTAGATTATTGAAGAAAGGAGCTTTGGTTGAAGTAGTTCTTTGACTTTTAAGAGCTATACTTTAATGATGCGCTGAGTCACTGGAACAGATTTGAATGTTAAGGATAAAAAAGCTGGACTCCACAGAGGTCTCGGGTATCTCGCTGGTTCTTGAAAACATCTTAGACTCAAATGGATCTGATTCATCACACAAACGGGTTTTTTTAAAGATAGTGCTCAATACATGTTTTAAACTTTTTTTTTCTCATTGTAACCTTGTGTGTTTCAGCATTTGCTTCCATTTGATTCTCACTTTCCTGCTGGCACACGCAAATTTCCCCACTGAGGAACAATAAAGGTTATTGCTATTCTTCAAAAGCTTTTCATTTCATTGAGATTGCACATGCTAGTAAGTAAGTGAGGCTGTTATACAGTCCAGGCCTTGTAGACAGCTTTGCTCTTAATGACTCATAATATTATAACACTCAGGTTTGATGTATAGGGATATGATAAATGATGTGTCACAGAAGCAGATGTATGATAGAACTAAAAGTAATCTGGTGCTCCAAAGTTTCATGACCTGGTTTAAAAAAAAAGGTGGTGAAAACAATGCATACGTTGTAGAGCTATCAGTAATCTTTCTTTGTTTTCCTCTTTCTAAAAAAAAACATCTCTCCATCTTTTAATTGCAGGTTTGGTGATGTGGACCCCCCTATTGCTTACAAACATATGTTACAAACAGCTCATCAAAAAGCCAATGCCTTAAAGCATAGGAAGGGAAAATCAGTTTACTGATACAGTTTACAACTACTGGATGTTTCAAAGAGTCTTGAAAGTTAAGGTCTACTCCTCCCAAAGGATTCCTGATGTTTCTGACCATCCCTTAGAAATATTATTTCAACTGAGGACATAACATGAGCTTCTTTATCAAACTGCAAATATCAGCTTTAATGCAAACAAGCCATAAAATCTCTGTAAATGTTCAGCTTTGTATCTTGGAGCCCCGTTTACTGAGATGATGCTGATGCTGAACATCTACAGTTCTTCAACTGATCCGGCCGGTCTTAAAACTACCCTCAAGTCTTGAATCCAAACTTTCCTGAAAACCATGCAAGAATGTGACTAAAAACAGTAAAAGAAAATACCAACAACTGGGTTTAATCAGAAGAACTCTGATAAGGAACTAAAAGTATCTGGTCCTGGAGGCTTTCTTTTGGTAAGATGCCAAATAACGATTTACAAGAAGAAAACAGATTTTATGACCAGGAAACTTTGTCCTATAGGTGGCAAAACTATACCGTGTGTGGTAAAACTACCCTTTGTGATATAGAGGGTAAAACTATACACTTTAGGCAGTGGCACCTACAGAAATGTTTCATAGGGGTGGGCCAGATGAGGCCACTAAAAGTCTTGGGGTGGCAAACTGAAACTAAATGCCATAATTTCAGGGTTTAAATCTACTATTGTGGTAAAACCTGCCTGTAGAAATCCTAAAGAATGAACTAAACACTAGAGTTGCATCAATGCCATTTTTGGGCCCCGAATACGATACCCGATACCTGGCTGTGCAGCATTGGCCAATACTGATACCATGTGTTTGAAATTTATATGTGTGTGTATATATGAAGAACTCTATACTACTTGGATATAAAATAATTGCCATCATGGCTTTGTCAAGCTGCTGCCTACTTTGGTGAGGCAGGAAAAAGACTGAGTGAATCCAGTAGAATTTTAATTGCCTACCTGGAATGGCTGATAATAGTTGAATAAACTTTTGGCTCTCAAAATGGTATTGGTGCCCTATTTGTTGGTACTCGCCCATACCGATACCACCATTTTAATATTCAATTCAATTTAATTAAATTCAGCTTATATATATATATATAGCGCCAAGGCACTTTACAGTTTTCTATCTAAGGAAAACCACTTGATTACATCGACTCATTGACTCGAATGCAATCCCTCACACTAAGCATGCTTGTAGCGACAGAGGAGAGAAAAAAACTCCCTTTTAACAGGAAGAAACCTCCAGCAGAACCAGGCTCAGTGTGAGCGGCCATCTGCTGAGGCCGACTGAGGTTCAAGGAGACAGAAGTAGAGATACAAAAAGCAGCTGTAAAAGGCGGCTCGGTACAGGAAACACACAGCCAGGCAGACGAGCTCCGAGCTGGCTCCCTTGTCAGAGGATGAAGAGAGCACATCCAGTTAGTCACAGTCAGAGAAACAGGACTACACTGGAAAACAGGTTGATCCCCAACATCTATAAACAAATGTGTTGATGGCAGCAGCACAGCTGATATTTCTCTCTCTCTCTCTCTCTATTCTAGTGCGGTTTCGGGGCCCTGCCCGATACTGGTATCTAAACACCTACTCATACATGTACCTTGGTTTATGTTGTGATTATTAAAGTTACGTCGCTGGCTGTGCATAATGGGATGAAATGCTAAACTGATGGTACTACAATTTACCCTGGCGAGTGGGGTGGCCCGGGCATTGCAAGGTGCAGTGGCCACCGCTGGTGGCGCCACTGCCTTTAGGTGAGTTGACTATTGACCATGAAGTTGAGTTACAACTCCTGGCCGGTTGCTTCTTGGAATAACCAAGTGGATAATATGTAGCTCCAAGATTGCATGCTTTGAAGACACCGCCCCAGTCAAAACAACAGAATATTTATCAGCTCATCCGATGTTTCTGAACAAAGATGATGCAACTGATTAATTTACAATAAATGTATTGCCTGTGGTTGGGATGCTTTAACACAGCAGCCAATAACAGAGGACGCGGTGGCAGCAGTTTGCACGTTTGACTTTGTAGGGTTGACCTACATGCGCAGAGCGTCTCAGGATCACACCTGGGTTTACTGAGCCAGGTTCTGAGTCATCACGGAGCCTCCCTCTCATAACCCGGAGTGTCAGTGCATGTTGGGTGGGGGGGTCACTCTGCATCTTCAATATATCACGTCGCTCCATGACGCACAGTGGAGAGAAAGGAGGAGAGTAGGATGGAGGGAGGAAGGAGGGAAAGAAAGGGTAAGAGCGGGTGGAAGATGGAAGGAGAATGGGGGGGGTGTCTCAGACGCCTAACATCAAATGACCTTAGCAGCGGAGGTCTCTCTGCACCCCTCCCTCTTTCTCCTTGTCTGACACACAGAAGCGCGCACGTTTGCCGCGTGTCCGGTGTCATCCATGTGGAGAGGAAAACGTCAGCGGTGTCTTATTGCGCTCACATCCCTCCGCCTGTCTGTCCAGCCTCTCCCCTCCGCTCAAACACCCCAAAACACACCAACACACACTCAGCCATTCCTGCAGTGAACTCTGGATTCACTGGATCCTGAAAAAATACAGAAAAGAGTCTCATTGGAAGCCCCAACTCTCTGCAAAGCAACTCCAGGAATAGGCTGCACGTGCATCTGAGTTCTTCAACAACGCATTCCTCTGCCTCCCCATCCATCCATCCATCCATCCATCCATCCATCTATCCACATGGCAGAACAGAAAGCGGCGTGTCCTTACTGATCGTCCTGGATCCTATGCAGCCCATGTTGTCTTATAGAGGCTCGTGCAGCTCTGGGAGAATCAGATCCATCCGCCCAGCAGGCATTTCTCCGCTGTTCTCCCCTCTGCTTCTCCTCTTCTCTCCACTCTTGTCTCCCTCACTGTCCTTCTCTCCTCTCTATGTGAGAAACAGAGGCTGTGTGTGCGTGTCATCCGCTCCCTCTCTCCCCCGTCTCCCTCTCCGTACACTCCCCACAACACACACACACACACACACCGGTCTCATAGTCTTCTACCTCCCCTTTCCCCAGTGACAAGTATAGGCGTTTGCAAAAAAAAAAAAAAAATATATATATATATATATAAATATACATATATATATGTATAGAAAAGTTATGTTATAGAATGTTCTAATCCATAAGTTTAACGTTTATTTTAAAAATAATTGACAAAGGAACTCAATGAATATCAGCTGACAATCCACAAGCTCCCAATTATGCTGGTGAAGATTCCCAGTCATTCAGGTCAGTCCTTCCAAAAAAGAAAGTTACAAACATTCCACTGGACTTTGTTTCCATGTTTGAAAACGTTTCACTTCCCATCCGGGAAGCTTTTTCAGTTCAAATTGTCACGAATAGCATTGAGTTCTCAATTATCTCAATTATCATGTACATGCACAAAAAAAAAAATAAGTAGCAGGCTTTAGTAAGTGGAAAGCTTCGATAAAAGAAAAATAAAAAGTTTGTAAACTGCTTGGGCGCATGAGAATCAGTGATTGCCCTTTAAGTATATGAGGTATCCAGCAATAACACTAAAATTGACCATCAGTCTATGAACAAGTGACAGCATCTCAATATCGTCAATAACGTAAAATCAAGGGGCCAATATAAAAACACAGGTGTTCCTCTTTAAGTTTTATTTAAGTTTAAATCAGTTAAACTCACAGCTAAATCACTGACAATAATATAAAGGGGGTATATATATTTTGTTTTAAAATATATGAATATAAAGAGCATGATTGCCCAAATAAGGAGAAAAATCCTAGAATTCTTAACAGTTTAGCTGAAATGTAACCATGATTGAACCTGCTTACAACATAAACCTCTTTATAGAATAAAGACTTAGCTTTTTAATTTTTCCTTAACAAATTCAATGTTTTAGTTGGAACTTGAATAGCTTTTATGCAACCTCTCATTTAAAAGGATTCACTGATTGCTGCAGCTGATATTAGGATTTAAACGGACAACTGCATGTGTGAAAAGTGCACTTTGCAGTGTAATAAACATTTTTAAGCATTGATAGCAGAATAAATACAGTGTTCAGATGTTTTATTTTGAACAGACCACAGTCTTTGACCCATGCCTCCGCTTCTATGATGCGTCAAAGTCACTGACTGTCAAAGGGGTCTATGACCTAGTGTCTGTGCCACTGTCCAGCAGTCTGACTGTTTGTTGTCAAGGCAACCTGAATGGGTGCCGGGTTGAATAGGTTCTCTTTCTGGGCCCAGGCCAGATAACAAAGGGAACATAAACTGGTATATTGGAGTTTTACAATCAGCATCAGCCCTTCTAAAGCAATCAGCCAAAGAACTCTGTTATAATAGATAGAATAACACCTCAAGATGCTTTGTTACTTTAAAAACTAGGTTTAAAAATTTCCTTCTTGGCAAAGCTTATAGTTAGAGTGGCTCAGGTTATCTTGAGCTATCTCTATAGTTATGCTGCTATAGGCTTAGATTGCTGGAGGACATAGGGACCACTTTACATCATTCTGCCTCATACTACTATTCATAAATTCTGCATTATTTTTAAGTTTAACCTTTAACTTTATTTCCTCTCTGTTATTTCTCACCTTAATAGCTTCATCTACCCTGACACTCTGTTGAGCTGTAACACCATTCAGGCAGGAAGCACCAGCTGGGCTTGTGCTGTCAAAATCCTTTACTATAGGTCAGGCATCCCCAAAGTTGGTCCTCAGGGGCCGCCGTCCTGCAGGTTTCAGTGGTTTCCCTGCTCCAGCACAGCTGATTTACATTGATAGTTGATTAACATGCTTTTGCTGAACTGCAATCATCAAAACCAGCTGTGCTAAAGCAGAGAAACCTCTAAAACCTGCAATACAGAGGCCCTTGAGAACCGAATTTGGGGATGCCTGTTATAGATGATAGAGTCTTGCCTATTTTCCACAAACTAAATGTACTATCTCTTATACTTTTTTTAATCAAAACTGGCTCAGACCTTGTCGGCTCAACTGTTCGCTTCCAAGAGCGAGCCAACTGTCAGGCTAGTTTACTATTACTTTTTCTAACATAGAAAGTATTTAAGGATCAGCAGTTCAATTACATTGGCCATTTACACTGAACCTGGTTCTGCTCGAGGTTTACTTCTGTTAAGAGGGAGTTTTCTCCCAATCCAGTGTCACTGCATGAACTGTTATGGCTCTTCTAATTTGTTGTGACTCTGAGTTTTCTGTTATCACCTTTTTTTTTATTTTTCAAGCATTCTTCAGTTACTCTCTGTTGCCCCCTTGTGATTGTTTTCTTTCCCCTTGGATTCCCTCTTGCCAGTTCCACCCATACCTGCTCCTTATTCAGCTCATTAGTCCATCCTTTGCTCTGTTCTCATTAAATACTCCACCTCTGCAGTCACTCAGTGCTGGTTCCTTCTCAATGCCGTACTCGTCTACTCAGCTCATCTCCCTGTGGCTCAGGCTCGTATTTTCCCCTCATGTCTCCATGGTTTTTGGTCTGGTAAACTTTTTAGTTAGATTTCTGGATTAGTACCTCTGTTTCCTTGGTTCTTCAATTAAACCTGTCAGAACTAATCTCTGCTTCACTCGGCTCTGCATCTGGGTCCTTAAGCAACCTTACCACCCATTGTTGACATGCATGCTCAGTCAGAGGGATTGCTGGTGTGTAAACGAAACAATGCAAGTGAATTTCAGCTGTCTTTAAATGTTCATCCAGGAAGTGTGAACCCCGCCAAATCAGTGACTGGATGCAGTCAGTGGGGTTCCTTAGATTGAACACTTTTAATCAGTTTATATGCTTTGATTGAATTGTATATTTATGTTTTCTTGGTATGATATGTGTTGTAAATTGGTGCTATTTAAACAAACTGAATTCAGTAAAAATAAATAGAGTAACAGGTTAAAAAAATAACTTATGATCAAGATGCTCTTTAGAATTATAGTCTCAGAATCATTGGCTGTTTTTTTTCCTGTGTATTTTAGTAATGAAGTAAAAAACTAAGCGACATCTTGCACAGACTGAACTGGGGGACTCAGCAGGCTCATAAAGCTGATCACAGACTGCATTACAGAAGAAATTTCCTCCACAAGTTTACTATTATTACACTAAAATCAGTAGTACGCCTTGTGCTAAAAATAAGGTTAAAATGAACTTTTTTTAAAGCCTACTTGCATTCCCAAATCTGTTTCTTCATGTCTGAGTGTACAGCACATATAAATATAGCTGGTTGGGCAGGTCAGTTAATGGCTAAAGGACAGTTCATGTTTTACTCCGTAAAAATTCAAAAAATATCCACTGGACTTGGTTTCCAAGATTTGAAGACGTTTCACCACCTCTCCAGGAAGTTTTCTCAATTCGAGAAAGCTGAATTGAATTTTTACGGAATGACTATGACCTGGATTACTGAGAACCTTCATCTTCATGTTTTACTCTAGACTCCATTCTACTAAAGTCTTTTAGTGGAGTGTTTTTTCCTTATTTTTTTAATAGATTCATCCACTCATTTAAACAATTCATATTAAACACATCAGCTCAGCTCCCACAGTGCCCTGCATTACTCCTGGATGTATATTTATCATCCCTGGGGATCTGAAAGTTTATTCCAGTCGAGTAACACTGAGCAAGTGTTGATATGAGCAATATCTGATGCATGTAATATGTATGACGCTGCAGTCTGCTCAACTCTGCAGCTGAGCTCTCTACTTATTCCTTTCTCTCGTTCTCTAACAAGCTGCTACCCTCCTTCAAACATCCCTGCCTTCGTCTTTTCTCTGCCTCCCCAGCTTCCCCTCTTCATCTAACACAAAATGAAAACACACGGATTCAGCTGCTGAGATCCAGTGAGTAAAGATGTCTGCTGCTCCCGATTCCATTAACTCAGATCTCCATTTCAGACGGGGAGCAGAAGCACACCTCTTGACTTCACACTCAATAAATTCACACAAATGAGCTGCAGATGTATGGCACAAGCTCTTAGAATAAAATTTCATGCAAGAAAACAATGGTTATAACAGTTCAAATTACATTTTCTATTGTTTATCTGCTCTTTTAACAACATTTGCATATTGAGTAACAACAAGAACAGTACGATTATTAGTGTTTCTAAATTTTCATTAGTTGTGTGTGTGTGTGTTTACATGGTTGTGTGTCAAACTCAGAACAGTAGAATCCAGTATTCAAGGTGGACAAACAGATTTCTCAAAATGTTTTTTGGAAACTGAACCTAAACATGCGAGTCACTAACCTGGTCTTATAGTTTAGTCAGAGCCTAGAGGTCATTCACCCATTCACGCACACATTCACACACTGATGGTGGCAAGCTACATTGTAGTCACAGCTGCCCTGGGGCTCACTGACAGAAGCGGCTCAAAGACATTCTCAGTTGTCAAAGCCTGGAGGTCAGAGATCAAGTGAGGTGCCGAGGGTGAATTCAGGACAGAGTTGGGTAAGAGTTCCAGGTATGGTACACAGACAGGCATTGATCCAGCAGAAGTCAGAGGACAGGTCAGGAAAACAAATCAGACTGGGACAGGCAGGCTCAGAGGTCGAAAGGTAAAATGGATCAGGGAGTTGGAACACAGGTACTCTAGAATACTTCTCACCAACGGTTTGTGAATAATCTGCCATTGATGACTGATCTAAAGGCTGGATAAATAGAGACTAGTACAGGTGGATCATGTAATCAGGTAATGATAACTGGGCAGAACTAAGCAGGTGTGTGAAGTGAGTAATAAGACCAGACATCAGTGCCAAGATCATGACAGTTGTGGGTCTCTTCTCTTTTGCCTTGCAACAGACTGGTGACCTCTCCAGAGTGTACCACAGCTTTTGTTCAAAGACTGTTGAGGAAAGGCAACGGCTCCACTGTGACCCTGACGGATACATTTGAGAAAGTACAGTATGACATAAAACTTAACCACAACTAATACTCAGTGAACATGACAAGTACTAACTGATCTTTGCTAAGAAAG